ATTTTGTGAATCACTAATATAATACAAACAATTATCTTTTGAAAAAAAAAGAAAGAGCACTCTCATTAGTTCCTACTGAGACATGTATCTAGTCTGGTAGCACAACCCGCACTTGGAATATACTTATTGACTCGCAAATATTCATATTTCATTATTTCGGAAAAAGAAGAGACAGTGCATAGGCACTCCTCATGCGATGAAGATTAATGGTAGTAGGGTGATAATGTATGGCATTGATAAGTATGATGAAACTGATAAAAACAAGAGGAAATGAACATATTGAATCATAGAACATGACTAGCATGGGTATTGAAAATGGTTCAATAAAATGCATTGAGCAGTTTGGCAGGATGAGGGTGTCATATGATTTACATTTTATAGAAAAAAAAAAGCAACCATTTACTGGATGGAATACGAATGCCTTTGGAAATCAAAGAAGGAAAATTGTAGTATTTAGCTCATAAGCGACGTATACTGATATTTAGCCTCTTTGCACAAGTAGATTTTGTCCAGGACTTATCACTTAACAACTAGCCAGCAATGTGCCTTTCCAAAATGCAGAAAGGAACATCTCTGGGTCATGCAAAAATTCATTTCTTGTGCATAAAAATCTAAGGAATAATATAGCTAAAGTTACTGCATTTTTCTATTTTCTTATTTATAAATAGAGATCTTTCTACTCGAGCAAAAAGAGATATTTCTATTTTTCCCATACATTACTTTTTTTTCCATAGTTCAGTGGTAAAATGGAACTCTAGAGGTCGCATTGTGGCACCTCACCACCCTGTCTATGCAAAGGTGAAAAAATATGTTTTGTTTATCAAAACACAACATACACACACACATACATACATAATAAATAAATAAATCATATCTGACAAACCAGAACCAGTTCCTTTCATGCAAATGCCCTTATGACACATAATTCGCTCATATTCAACATGTCAATTTTTTCCAATAAGCAGCAAAAATCTCAAATTGTCATATCAAGAATCATCTCATTAGAAAGAAACTTAGTGCTATGACTACAAAATCGATTGGGAAAATTCAGAACAAAAAAGCCATAAGTAACCAGATTGGACATTCCATAAGATCCAATAAGAACAGAAAGCCAGCATTTTTTGATCATAATTCTCATCGAGCTGACCAAATTCTATTAAAGCAAAAAATCGTGATTTAAAAGAAAATTAAAAGAAAAGAACAACAAAGCACCCAATTCTGCAAAACCCTAGCTTCTCATAGACCTAGGCCTCTTTCGCCAAAATCCAAAAAGAGATAATTTCCAGAGGGCGCTCTCCTTCATATCAAAATCTGGGTTTTCAAGAGAAAAAATACAAGATCATCGGATAAATAAGAACAGAAATTAACTCAATACTAGGGCATCGAAACCTTTTGATCCAAGCAAAACCAATTCAGAAAAGAAGGAAGAAAAGAGGAGAAAAAATAAAGAAAAAAAGAGGAAAAAATTCGTTCCCGTACCTTGCCCTAGAAATTGCAGAAGAACAAAGCGAGAGCCCTCTCTTGCATCCAAATCAATGCCTTTGAACCAGGGCTCTATTTTTGGACTCTCTCTCATCGATTTATTATTATTATTATTCTCCCTCTGCTTTTTTCAGCAGTGGTTTCAAAAGTTACAAAAGAAAGACGCAGCTTACGCTAGGTTGAGTTTCGTCTAAATTTCGCGAAGTTTCGGACGAGATTTGTTTCGTCGTTCCTTTGGGGCAGCTTTAGATTTCGCGATATTTCGTCCGAAATTTCGTTTCTACAGAACGACACAGTGGAGGCCTGAACTTCGACACAAGATCCTAGTGGTAAAATTTTATTTTATGTGCTCAAACAGATTGAACCTCTCTTTAGTCACTAAGATTACATCAAATATAAGAATACAAGTCATGTTAAAAAGGAAATTTATCAAAATAGAGGATGAATTATTTAACATTTTATTAATTTTACAACTATTCCAACTCATGTCTTTCAATTCAATGGGTATTTTGAAATTAAAGCAAAGGATATAAATAAATAAGATGTTAAGCAGTTCATCTTTTGGGCGTTTTTGTAATTTTTTTTTTCAAAATATAATAATAAAATAAAATATTATCAAAAAAATGGATATCAACTATTTATATCAGCTTTTTTTTTTAATCCAAAAATCCTACCAAAGGACACATGATCATGACTCTGAGTAGGAATATTATAGATGTATTTTGATGAATCGGTAAAATGTTATACAATTGATATTTTAAGTATTTTGATAACTTTTTTTAGGCAAGTTTTTTTGCAAATAAGGTTTAGTAAAAAAAAAATATACAATGAGACCATTTAACTTTGGTATAAGGTAGTCAAAATTAATCTTGATCATTGGATGTGAAATTAGATGATTGCATTTATTCTATTCTACAAGCTCAAACTTTCAAAAGAAATTTTTCGAACTTTATGACACACCCAAGCTTTCAGATTTCACAGCGGATGTAAGTAATTGTAACATTCATAAATTGTCTCATCGTATACAATCCCTTGGTAAAAATATTACATCAACACATAACAAACAAAATTCTATTGCATCCAAATAAAAGACCAAAATAGACAATTTCTTCCTATCTTTCCTTTCTTTGTTTCAATGATAGCAATAAAAGATAAGTGAGCACATGGCCAAAATATGGGAGAAGAGATCCCAACTACATAATTAGATGAGATGGACCTCAAGTAGTAAAAATAAATGATCAACCCAGAGTACAGGACCCATGCTTAAGAATCATTAGTTTTTTCTCTAATAAGCCCCTCTCGATCTCGATCTCGATCTCGATCTCGATTTTTTCTTTTTAATGTCAATGCGTATTTCATTGATCTTTGTGAAGGTGATGTTAATTGATTGTATCTGTACAAAAACGAGTTTCTTAACTGACTAAAAAATTGGCCTCGAGTTTGTTAATATTTGAATTTTTTTGTTTTAAATTACAAAAGAGCATAGCTGACACGTTGAGTATTCTATTTCAGTGATAAAAAAGAAATTTGTACGTACTGAACTTATTGCAACCAAGAAAGACTAAGAAACAAGTGTGTCCTCGTGATCTTGTAGTTTGGTGTACCATCTATCATGATTGTTAGGTTTAGCAAGTTCCATACTTGCCGTAAAAAGTGTCAAAGTAACTTACCCAAAAAAATAAAAAAAGGTGTCAAAGTAACTGGCCATCTCTTTGTTTAACTGTTTTCCCTAATATATCGGAAAAAGTTTATACAAGTGAGAGGCTTGAACAATCAAATTAGGGCGCACCTCAAAATTTCATTAGAATAGGTTCTTTTAATGCTCAAAATTCTTCAAATTAATCATCTCAACCTCAAGATACACGGCATGACAAAAAAATGGATTTCAAGTATTGGAAATAATGAATCTTGTAATGTATTTTCGGATCGTCAATCTTCAAGATTTTCAAATTCTCATAGATCTGCTTGATCTACTCTATTTTTTAAACTTTAAATGTTAGAATTAGATATGAAAATAAATTTTCAGGCGCATCACAAAGATTTCTAGTATTGAAACAACATCTTTCAATACTATTTGAAGGCGTGCCCTACTTTGATGGTGTAGAGCCTCAACATTGTAGATACCACACCCATATCTATATATATATATATATTTACTTTCAAATTATTTAATAAGTTACACAAATTAGACAAACTGTTTTAGGCGAAAAAAATCATAACCATTAAGTGTTAACCATAACAATAACAGTACTAGTGATATAATCCCAAAAGATGATGTGCAGATAGATGCCTATTAAGCTACTAATAACTATGTGATGTCCTGGTAATATCATAGTTATTGAGGTCGGACCGAATTGGTAGTCTGACCAGTCGAATTGCAGACTAGTGCATTATCGATTGATACCTTGGCTGTTTTAGTCCAGGGTATAGATTGAGTTTGGTCGAAAACTATTCACAACTAATATTTGATCTGTTTGGCCTAATGGGCAACCCAATTTTACGGGGTTCTACAAGCTAAATGAAGCTGGACAATTTTTCTAATACATTTTACATTTTTTAAACTATTATATCTTTATTTCTTTCCCATTTTTTAAAGTCTGATCCAACCGCTTTGACCAATGGTTGGACTGATTTTGACATGACCAAATTCTTTATCGGTTCGGTGGCCAGTCCAATCCTGGTAACATTAGTTAGTACACCAAAGTGGCGGTTGGCAATGGGCCTTGGTGTGGGCATGGCCCCGATCCCTAGAGCCCCGGCCTTACTAGGCACTGACAAGGTTGAAGGGCTCTTGGACCAAGCCCAGCCCCGCCCTATTCGAACATGGCCAAGTTGTTGCTAGGCTTGGCCTAATTCAATTTCCAAAAAACAAAAGAAAGAACATAAGAAAGAACTGGGCCGGGCTGGTCTATGCCTTCCATGACCTTGGTGCATAGGCTGAGATGGCTAGGCCCTCGAGCCAAATTTGGTGGAGGATGGGCTGCCCCGCACATTGTTAGTCTTAACCATAGCTAATTTTCAGATTTTTTATTTATTTATTTTTGGAATGGTGTAGACCAAAGCTACGTTGAAGAGTTATTTAACCATAGCTAATTTTCAGATTTTTTATTTATTTATTTTTGGAATGGTGTAGGCCACAGCTACTTTGAAGAGTTATTGATTCATGAATCAGATTAGGCTACACTCACGGATCTCAACTACTAAGGATTGTTTATTGTTCAAAAGTGAATTTCCAAAAATGGAACACTATAGATCTAGAGGCTATAACCCTCAACAAGCAATTGCTTTTAAATGTGGTCCATTTGGTACCATCACTATATCGAGTTAGATTTGTGCTATATGTCGGTTCTAGCTAATTGATGGCAACCATTAAATATTTCCATCATTTTAGGACTCTATTGTTTTTTCATGTGTCTTTTTATTATTTTTGGGAAATCTTACCCCGTAGTTAATTGAAGGGAAAGTGGAATGCTGAAAAAAGGTAAACGGTAGGTCCAAAAAGACATGGTTGGAAATAGTGAGAAAAGATATGAGGACTTATAGCCTTGTTGAAGATATGGCCAATAATAGAACAGAATGACAGACCAAGATTCGTGTAACCGAACCCATTTAATTAGAAAAAATGGGGGTTCTATTTCATCTTCGATGCGTTTATTCAATTGTTTTATTGAAGAAAATACTCTTATTGATTATCCAATAGCAGGGGCTAAATACACTTGGACCAATGGAAGCTCTGTTGTGCTTTCTATGTCAAAAATTGACAAGTATTTGGTATCTCTCGAGTGGTCAGAATTTTTTCCATTGGCCTCTGTGAGAGCTCTCCCTAGACTCTCTTCTGACCACACTCCGATTTTTTTAACCTCTAAGGGTTGCTCTGGTGGTATTAGTTCTTTTTGGTTTGAAATTGCTTGGTTAAGGGAGAAAGAGGTCTCAGAAATTATAAAAAGTATGTGGGATAACTCAGTCATCACTGAATCACTTGATTATCAACTTTGTAAGAAACTGGTAAATATTAAACATAAACTCTTCTAGTGGAAAAAGGAAAAGTATTCTTCTGTGAAGTACAAGATTGATGCACTTCTACTCTCTATTGAGGACTTGGACTTTATGATGCATCACAATGGTGAATGGTCTGAGGAGTTGGCGGTGGAAAGAAGTGAAAAACTCAATGAGTTATAGGAGCTTAGGAGGGTGGAAAAAGTATATTGGAGACAAAGGTCGAGGGTTAAGTGGCTTAATGAAGGGGATTTGAACACAAAATATTTCCATTCTATTGCCAATGCAAGGAGACGCCAAAACGATATTTCTGGTTTGTCTGTGAATGGGCTTGATCAAGAGGATAGTGAAGGTATGTACCAAGCTGTTGTTGATCACTTTCAGCAGGCATTCTCCTCGGACGTTTCTCACGCACCCAAGCTCAGCAAGGTGGGTTTTAGAGTTATCCCACCTCACTTTATTTCGACTTTAGATAGGGAGGTGTAGATGGAGGAATTAAAAAATACGGTTTTTTCCTTACCTAGTGATAAGGCACTTGGGCTGGATGGTTTCCCTCTTGTCTTTTTTTATAAGTTCTGGAGCCTTATTAGTTCAGAGCTTTTAGAAATGATAAAGGGGTTTATGAGGAGAGGGGAGTTGTTCAAGGGTGTGAATTATTCGTTTATTGCTCTAATACTAAAGAAATCAGTGATCGCTACTTTGGGAGATATTAGACCTATTAATCGCTAATTTTGTCCCCATTGCAGTATGGGACAAAATTCTTCAGCGCATTCAAATGAAGTTAGATCTTTGGAAGTTTAAATACTTGTCTTTTGGGAGCAGAATTACGCTTGTTAAGGCATGTTCATCAAACCTGCCCATCTACAAGATGTCTATTCTTCAAATCCCTCCTTCGGTGGCAAAGAAGATTGAGTCTATGATGAGGAACTTCCTTTGGGGATCTTCGGTAGATAAGAAAAAGTTTCACTTTCTGCGATGTGATAGGTTTTGCACACCAAGGGAGGAAGGAGGCCTTGGCATTAGAAAGATCAAGTTGGTTAATTCTGCTCTGCTCTGCAAATGGTGGAGGAGGAGTCTGACTCTCAAAAATCATCTCTGGTACTAGGTGCTCGTTTCAAAGTATGGTGTTGATAAATTCAGCATGTGGCTAGGGACAATAAGAGGAACCTCAGGTATGTGAGTTTGTTGGAAGGCTATTCAGTTGTGTAAAGGACTCATCCATATATATTATATGGTGTATAGGCAATGGCAGCAATATCTCTTTTTGGCATCACAATGGGTAGGGGATTCTCCACTGAAATTGCTTTTCCCATTGTTTTTTCAAATAGTGGTTAATCAAGATGCATCTGTCTCAGCCAATTATGCTCGCCGAGGTGACCAAATAGTCTGGAATATAAATCGTCCATATAATAGAAATCCTAATTTGCTCTTCTCTCAACTTTCTTACCTTCTTAAGATGCTGGAAGATGTTTATATTCCTTTGAATGCAAATGATGAAGTGGCGTGGGAAATTGATAAGAAAGGTCTTTTTTCGATTATATCCATATATTATTTGCTCTTCCACGATAGGGCAAGATGGTCTATGCCTATTCTTGTTAAGATTTGAAAGTGGCCTCTTCTTTTGAAGGTTCAAGGATTTTTGTGGTTGGTGGCCCAAGATCGAGTGCTCAGTATTGATAATCTCATTAAACGTGGAAAGATTTTACCAAATATTTACCTCTTTGTGTAAGGCGGATGGGGAGTCAGGTAACCATCTATTCCTACATTGTACCTTTGCTAGCCATATTTAGAATGGTTTTTTGTGAAGTTGAGAGTTGCATTGGTAATGCCCCTCTCAGTAGTGGGGATAATAGATGGCCTCTCGGTTCCATTTTCGAAGTTGGGGGCTATTACTTGGGAAATTGTTAGAGGAGTCATTCTTTGGGAAATTTGGAAATAGAGGAATATGAGAGTCTTCGAAGGGGTGACTTTGTCTTGTGAAAACGTCTTGGATAGAAATATGCACTGTATTTGGTCTATTTTTCGATTACTCCGGGGGGGCAGGATATCACTGAATTAGATGTTAGAAGAAATTTAGGTGATATCTTCCACTTGAATTTTACCAAATGTAGGCCTAAAGGGAGATGGTTGCCACCGCCACAGGGGGGTATATAAATTAAATTTCGATGGCAGCTCGATAGGGAACCCTGGTGTATCTGGCTTTGGAGGAGTGATTCGAGATTGTGATGGAAATGTGGTTCTCTCTTTTGCAGGTCCTCTTGGTGTTCGGACTGCTAACTTCGCTGAACTCTCTGCCCTTCTTTTTGGTATGCATACTATTGTGGATAGAAAATTGGGGCATGAGTTCATTCTAGAGGGCGATTCTCTTAATGTGATATTGTGGTGTAAGAAGAAACAACTTCTTCATAGGAACTGAAACCGTTGTTGTTGCAAATCTTGGATTTATCCGCTTCCCTCTCTGTTTCCTTTGTTCACGTTTATAGGGAGGCGAATGCCTTGGCAGATTTCCTTGCCAAAGGTGGTACTACTCTTTGTGATGTATCTGTTTCGGAATCTGTAATTTCATTCTAGAGTAATAAAATTTAGTGAAATTTCTATCCAAAAAAAAAAAAAGAACTTCCTAAGTGAATATGGACTTCAATTTGGGCGGGGCACTATCATGAAAGTGTAAAAGAAAAAAAGAAGAAAAAACAGAATTTTGAACCTTAAAAATGGTATTTGTTTTGTCTTAGAAAAAATAAGTTAATTTTGAAGTTAGAAAACAAAACTTTAGACATCGTGTTGTGGCGCCTGCCATCCTGACCATCTCTACCTAGAGTCCGTTCTCACCTAAATATAATTTATTTTGTATTTTCTTTTCGACCATCCATTTTAATTATCCAATGATCATTAGATCTGCACCCTCTTGAAACTCCTAATTTGTAGCTCTGAGGTAGAAAGAGATTTACAATGATTTGAAAAGTGTTACAGAAATCCTTCAAAAACACATTTTCACAACCTTGATTGATAACTGCGAGAAAATGTGTTTCTTTCCATCGGAGGTGGCCTTGCCTATGCTATCTATTCAGACCTACCTTTCTCAAACTACATGCATATGCCAGCAAGGGCTTTTATGTAACTATTGAGGCTGATCATAAAGAAAGGGATATGTCTTCCAAGGCCCCGCATCTGGTTCAGCACTAGGAATCAAACCTGAGATGCAGTGTCGCAATTTTCAACTGCTAAGTACTAATCACTCAAGGTCAAACCTAATTCTTAAGGCTGCCTCATCTTTATTTCCGGAATGCCATCATTCTTAGTCTCAAAGGGTAAATGTACTTCTTTGATGGTCCCTAAAGTATTTATCATGGCCTTTGGCATGCTTTCTCCACCACCACCCCCCTTCCCTTTCTATCTTGCAATAAAATTCCTCTACTGATAAAGTAGGTTATCACCTTTCCTTTCAAAGAGACCATTTATCTTTTATACATAAAGGTCATAATCATTTTTGTCACTTAAATTTCAAAATGGATTGTTGTAAGAATGTTATTAAATAGACACAAAGATCCAAAAAAATATTCTCAAACTTCGTGACTCACCCCAAACCATCCAATTTGATATTTAATGAGTGAGAATGATTGTGACCTATATGTACAAAAGATAAATGGTCTCTTTGTAGACAATCTCTTAATTACACCAGTCCAATAAAAGATGGACCCTCCTATATAATTAAAAAATGACGCTTTAAAAACCAGATTGGGTTGTTTGAACTGGTATTTGGCAATACCAATCTAGAACAGGTGGATCAACTATCACATCGGTAGGAATAAGGCAAAATAACAATGAAACAATGGAAACATAGAAAAAGGGTAGAGATCACGCAAATCCAGTAATCAAAGACCAGGATCGCCCAGCCATCAAACCCAACTCCAATCCGGATCAGAACAGCTCCAACGACTGGTTCAAAGTGTAAGCCACTGGAACATGAGCATGTTTCCAGCTGCAAATTACAAAACCTTTTTCTCTTTGGTAATAAACTACGAATACATTTCTGATCACCAAATCAAAGACTGAAGGGAATAAAAAACCAGATTACATTTCCCTTACCAAATCATCACTCAATTTGTTTTCACATTCTTTCAATTCTCTGTGAACACAAAAATTCTTTGTTCACCCAAATTACAAAGACTGAACTCAGTGAACTGTCTACTTCTTGAAGCATCACACTAGTGAAGGCAAAATAAAAATTTTCCAATACCCCCACCCAAGAAGAAAAATTCCAACTTTGCGATTGAACGGTCCGCAGGCAATCCAGGGAGTCCGTCCCATAAGAAACAAGATACTACCCAGTAACATCTTCCACCATTGGATTTCTTGGGCCAATAAGAAACAAGAGAACAGCAATGCATCATCTTTACCAAAAGAATACTTTTCTTGCAAATATTGCACCTAACACTTGGGCTTAAATCAAGGAGTCTGCTTGGAAGTGTCAAATGATGAGACAGAATGATATTCTTCAGCTTGCCTTAAGGTGAGAGAGAGTGTTGTTGGGGGTGTAAAATGATGATACAGGAAATGGTGTTCTTGGGAATGCCTAATGATAAGCGAGAAAAAGATGCTTTGGGGATGCCTAATGGTCAGAGAAAAATGAGACAGGAGTTTTCCTTTTCTCAGACTAACTTTTCAAGCATGAGAAAAATCAAGGCAAAGGCATCGGAGGAATCCAGTTGTCAAAGCGAACCAAGGCTCTGTTGACCACAGTTCGATTATGCAGCCAAAATGTCTCAGTCGACTGATGAAACAACCTCACTTTCCTTTGAAGCTCCCACAAGATGCCACCCATCGCTGAGCAACGTTCACTCTCTGAGACATAAACCCATAGGCATCTTAACTGCCTACCTCGAGCTATCATCCCCTCTATCTCTTCATCTGAACATCTCTCCAAATATCAGCAACCTCAACTAAATATAAGTCATATATATATATACACACACACACACACTCTAGTGTTATGCAAGTGCTTTGCGAGTGATATTTAGTTATTAAAAAAAAATTCAACCTTGAAATAATAGTAAAAAAAGCACATTCAAATATAAAGAAAGAAAGAAAGAGAAAAATCTTCACATGTGGGCTTCTATTAAATAATAGTTATTTAAACATATTCAAACTTGAATTCCTTTTCCAAGGAGTAGAAAAGAGGCTGACAAGCTAAGGTGGCATAAAGTACCAAAAAACCCAATCCATAGTTATTCCACTTTTTTTGGTAATCACACCCCAATATGAGCAATAGGAGTACTGCTTTCATGTTTGATTTCTCCTTTATTTCTTTCATCATCTTTCTATTTTAGAAATGGATCAATATATTTCTTAAATCTTTTTCTTTCTATCCTAGAAATTGATCGAGTCACTCCGTATTAGGGAAAAGAGATTGGACAATTGTGAAGACTGACCTGGTATAGAATCTAAGTACCCCAAAAGCTCAGGGCCTATCCGGGTTGAAGGCCATTTGATGGAGATCCAGGTGTAGTCAACCACATTTTGGAAGGGTAGCTCCACTTGGTCTGACAAGATAACAGGCACACATTCCTATAGAGAAATCAGATTAGATGTGTCGAAGAGAGAGAGAGAGAGAGAGAAGCGGGCCGGGGGGTGGGGGGGGTGGGGGGGTGGGGGAAAGCTCCATAAACCTAAAGAGTTCATGATGAGAGAGAGCACCATAAAGGAAGCCATAAAACTAAAGAGTTCATGATGAGAGAGAGAGAGCATACCACAAAGAAAGCTTCATAAAAGCGAAGAGTCCATGATGACTCCCCTCGAGGCGCAAGACAGAACTTCGCATTCCTTAAGTGTTCAAAGTATTCAGTCCTTCCCAGTTTGTTAGGGCCACTGAGCTGTAGCTCTGGAGATTCCAGCTGTTCATGATATCAGGCTTCATACTTTCTTTAAATGAAGGTTCTCTCTCTCTCTCTCTCTCTCTCACTCTCAGAAAAGAACAATAACTAAGAAGAGAAACAAGAAAGAAGACGAACGTTATTTGGGAACTGCTTTGCAAGCTCCAGTAGCAGCAACCGACCAGCTTTGCCCTGAGCACGACCCAAGAAATTTGCCAGGTATTTCCTTTTTGACAAAGGGAGGGGTTCGACTAAAGTGGGGCCACTAAATTTTGTCATGCCATCATCAACATTTCCTGGGATGATAATATCTTTCCATGTATTGAAGGCACTTATGTCTCTCTTATCAGTCCGATCACCCTGAGACAAAGCACGACTCTCAGTCAACCAAAAAACATCATACCTATATTACATCCCCATCAAACACACATCAATTAATGGGATTAGAGTCCAGAGTTTTTGGAGCTTCAGATTCCAGGGATTAGGGCTCTTTGGGTTGAAAATTTTTGATGCTTCACTTCTCTTGAGATCTCAGTGTTCATAGGAAGTACTGTATGAAAAATGGCTTATATATTAAGCTACCAGTAGAAACATTTGATGCACATTTTGTCTAGAGAACAAAGACCATACACTAACAGAATAAAAAAAGTATGCACTCTCCAATGAACTTCCATATCATTTAGATAAAGCTAAGGAAGAAAAATCAATTGGAGTATTCAAACATGACGAAATCTAATTCTGTGTAAGCATATAAAAAACTAGCCTATGAACTATTTCTATGAATCTAAATGGGTATCTCTCAATTTTCAATCCTTGGACACACAAAGGGAGCCAAAATTATTTTGAAGTCCAAATATTCAAACATTAAGCAAGTTTTGATGTAATCATAGTGTAAAATAGTTTTTGCACCTGCTCCGTCTTTATCACTTCTGTGTCTTCCAATTCTCACACAAGTAGAAACATAAAAATATCAAAGCCCTTCCTCGTTTTGAAAGGCAACCGCTATATACTTTGTCATCTTGGAACTTGAGGCCTTTAGCAATCAAAGTCTGTCCACTGTCAATTATCAATGATGAGATAGAATTAGCAAATGAATAGCTCCTCATTTGCTAACTCTCCCCAAAATGTGATAAACGAACAATCTTCATAATAATATTATAAATCAAATAGGCATACGACATGAAGAAAATTTATTTGTTTAAGCCAATGTTCATGACTTAACATTCAACAATGAAGAGACTTCAGTAGCCAAACGCCTCGAGTTCCAGGATGACAAAGCAGAGACGGTAACCTTACAAAATGAGGGAAGGTTTTCATATATATTTTTTTGTTGAGGGTCCTATGCAACTGAGAAACTTGAGACACTAATGAGGTAAAGATAGAGCAGGTGGAAGAACTACTTTATCATGAGTTGATTCATGCTTGAAAGTTTAGTAACTTCAAATAATTTGTGCTCCCATTGTGTGTCAAAGACTTGAAAGTCAAGAGATACCCAATAGACTCTTGGCTGGCAAAGGTTCACAGGCTGATCTTTCACTAATCACTTCAACTTCTCAATGGCTTACATGAATTCATAACAATTATCGATGCGTGTCAATTTAGATATTCTACTTACTGAAAAATATGAACTGATTTAGGTCTTAAATACATCTCATTTAATATTAAACCTCTAAACAAAAGGCTGAATTTGTAGTACCTCTGGAGTAAGAATGATGGATCGATTCAAATAAGTCGCCCATGATCGAAACAAGTGTGCTCCAGCTCCGCTGCATTTGTGGCAAAAGAATGTTACTTTATAAGATTACACAAGACATATCGGCCAAATTTGACAACAAGAATAACAATTTCCATGAGATTAGTATATTTAATAACCAATTTATCAGATACTATCCAAAAATCTGTTCAACTATTTCTACATGAATCACATCCCACCACAAATTAGGGCCCATGATCTCTATACACCCTCACAGATTGTTGTTCTGCCTAGTATTTTTACTCTAGCAGTCAGACTGTAGATTAGTACAGTCTCAACAAGTTACAAGCCAATGGACTTTGTGACTCCAATACAAGATGAAGTATAAGAGAAGGTTCTCAACGATGAAAATGAAAAAAAAATCCATAAAGAGGGAAAAGAATTAGAGAAAAACCAAACCATAACAAAAGTTGATGATGTAACTTTAAAAAAAAAAAAAAAAAAGTTAGATGATGCAGATCACTCCCTTCCTCCCTCCAGAGAAAACCCACATTATAAAAACGTTGATGATCCATCCCTCCACCCAAATCATAGACTCACACTCACATATAAAAACTCAGTGATCCAATCCAACTACAGTCAAGCAATTCTTTCCACAAGTTTATGAGGAGATCCATTTCTCTATGAGCACGGATGCTCATAAAACACCACAATCATTGACCAACTTACACTTTGATTACTAGCGAATGTATCAAAATGTGGCTGCTTGCCAACAACCTTACACTTCAGAGGCGCAAAGAAAAAGAGAAAAAAAAAGAAAAAAGAAAAAGAGACTGCTTGCCAGAGCCTATGTGAATCTCAGAGAAATGAACTTGCTAAGTGGATCAGGTTCAACAAATTGGCTAAGGTCATCTTGCCCTGTGGAATGGTCAGCCCTTTGGTCGGAATCGGTGAGCATCTTGACATGGCTGGACCAAAGAAAGAACACTTTAAGAAGAAAAACCCAGTTCATGGTTTCACTTGATTAGGATTTAAACACTTTTCTGATACTAACAACAGGATGGAGGGGTATAAGTACAAGAATGCTAAAGCCCAAGCCCCATATTACTCATAAAGCCAGGGCATGTATTTGTGAAAAGACTCTCCTGATTGTCCCTCCCTCGAGCAACTGGTCATCCAGGTATTGGTGGGAGGAACACTGATAGACTGGCTAAGTACTCTTTAATATTTTTCAAAGGCCCTACAGGATTCTTTAACCTCCAAACAGATGATGTGTCTTTCCTAAGTGGTCTATTAAGTTCACATATTTCATACACCATAAAATGAAACTTCAAATGGATTGAATTTAACCTCATAAACTGCTCATTTCTTTGATAAGCCATATCATATATTGCTTTCAAATTTGCAGGATGTAAGTAGATTCCTTGATGGCTTACTATGAAGGCAAATAATAGCACTTGCTATGTATGTTATGGTGCTGTTCTATCCATTGTGTTTGAGTTCATATTGGTTATAACCACATTTAAAAAAAAAAAATTGTTATTATCTTATTCTAAATACCCATTATACGGCAGTAAGAATTATATCAAAGTAACAACCGTTGCCTGTTTTGGTAGGAAATAATGAACTTTTGAACAACCATCATTAGCACCTCCACTGCCATAATTATCACTCTTTCCAGCCCATCAAACACCAAACTCCATCATTATTTCCTAACAAGGAAAACCAGAAGAACTAACTACTCGTGCTTGCATAAGATCTCAAGCTAGATGCTCCTTCCCTTTGTGGTTATGTTACATAGACAACCAAGCCACAGTGTAGCTCTTTATTTGTTAAAATATTGTTCTTAGTTCTAGGTAAGTGCAGGGTCCTTGATCTAGAGCAACAACATCCCTCATTTGTACGTTTGAAGTTACACAAATATCATTATCAGTAACAATTTCCAATGATCAAGATAGGAAGCCCATCCATATATTATGATCCGACCAATAAAGAACAACATTTTATCTCGGTCAATGATTAAGGTGAACCACAGCACTTGAAACGAAGGTTGAATTGAGTGGGACACCATAAGAACCAATAAAACATGTGAAATTCCAATCTGTGGTAATCCACGACACCAAAGCAACCAAACTTCATAATGACTTTGTTTAAACCATGGCTTACACTTATATTGTGCTATCTTCCTGCACCTTCACATGTCTAAAAAATATGAATCACACCATCAGACATCACAGAAGAGTTCAAAAGAACAGTCAATGAACTTGGAATCTTGACATGAGGGCCGACCTTAGTTGCACGAACTTATACAGGAGCATATCCCTAAACCAACTCCCCTTCACAATTCCAAATAGGACAACAACAAAAACAACAACAAGAGAATGAAAACAATGCACCTGTGGCGGTAAGATCCCCTATCAAATATGGCCATGAATTCATCATCACTACATGGGTCCCTAACCACTTGGAAGAATCATCCTCTTTAAAGTGACCAAAACATACCCAAGATACAGCTACCATTTGCGCAGGTTAAGCTTCCTCCAATGAGGTAAGAAATGCCTTCCCGAAATATGGTAAGTATTGAAACAAATATATCAACTATATAGCATCTATATGTTCATCTATTTCATAAGTTGCATCAATAATATATTCCCCATAACTGCAATCACATGAAATTTTCAGCAGCAAATTAAAACAAAAAACAAAATCTAGCACAACTTGGAGACCTAACATCAATTCCTGCAATTACTACAATAGAAAGAAGCATACTCCAGAAGTTATTTATCAAAAATTACATTTGTTTATAATGGTTCAATAAGTATGATATTTCTGCAAAATGTTATTAGTTTAAGAAAAAGATAAGCACTACAATATCGATAGAATGACTTCACACACCTAGGAAAGACAAAAATGTGGTCCCGACCTCCAGATCTGCAAAAATATGGCATCTGGCTTAGAACCTGGTACAGAGAAAGAAACAACAAATTCAATTAACCTACTACTCATGCGTGCAAACCTGTTATTCAATAAAAGAGTAATTTCTATGCAACATAAGAATGATTAATTTCTGTGCAAGACAAGCAATTTCCAGGAAAGATAAAGGAAAAGCACAAGAAGAAACAGAGAATGAGCTCATTGACAGGTTAGTTATATAGTAGAGAACAATTATAACTGGAGAATTGCTGACGGGACGACCTTAACATATGTTTGGTTTATCTCCTTATCATTAAGGCCACCCATCATTCGCACACACTTGACATAAGATGGCACGAAGAAGAGCTGTGCTTCATTTTTATTCATGGTCCGAACGCTTGACTTAAGAAGCAATTGATGGATCTTAACCTACATAGAACAGCAGAAAAACTATATTAATGTCAGATTATGTTAAGAAAAAATGGTGGAAAGAATATAATTATAGAAGAAGAAAACCCCACGTTTCCTACTTTGAAAACATTATAGATACTCGACAAAACAAATGAAGAAGATAAAAAGAAGAATGATAATAAGTGTATTTGTTATTGAAATTAACACAATTTTTTTCTAGAAACAGGCAATTAAGAAAAATATGTTATATAGTGATTAATGGAACCATAGCAATTACACATAAGGAAGAATCACAAATGCATTTTTCTTTACTGGTGATAACAAATAAGGATCCATAATCTCTTCTCGTCTACTGATCTTTCCCAAATATAACAGAGCTATGAATGGTATCACGACATGAAAACGCTCGTATATAAATAATTAACATTGCAGCAACAAAGACAAATAAGAAAACCCATAATTGAAACAAATTAAATAAAAAATATGAAACTATCCAGGTTTTGACAGTATGACATTCAATAAATCTACAACCTTCACATTAAACAACAAAAAAACATGAAATTTGACGCCTCAATTCGAAGCTTCCACAATCATTTTGAAAGGAAAAAATTCAAGATTAATTGAAACTTCACTAATTTCTCTTAAAAAAAACCAGAAACAAGTAATATAGATCATAGTCAGTAACCAGTGTAAAATCCTAATAGGAAAGAACCCACAACCAATAAAGATAGATCAAACCCAAAAACCAAGACTCCAGATAAGTTGGGGTCGCACCTGAGTTCCCCACTGGCCTTTCAAGCAAGCATTAGCTGTAATCGAACCATCCCTTCCATATAGTAGATTTTTCAGGCCATCAATCTCTCTCTCTTCATAAACATATATTCTTAGAGAGAGAGAAGAACCATAACCATGTTCAGGCCAATTCAATCTGCCATTACTCACGAGATCGATGGAATTGCGTTCGGATAAAGTTGGGTCAGTTGGGGACCGCAAGGAGCAGGAAGTGAGTGGATTGTCAATGAGCCTGGTGATGAAGAATGTGAGAATGGCTATGGCTAGGGCACCCAGCTGGTGGGTTCTGTTACATTGGGTCTGAAACACTCTGGATTTTGGGTGAGAAGCCATTTGAGCTTCACTGAAATGACATAATTGATGAGAGAAGCAGGGGTCTGAGCTTCACTGAATGCAGCAGACGAAGAAATCAGCGAAATAAGAGACAGAGAGAGGAAAAATACTGTAACGTTTGAAGGGGGAGCATACCATCATATCGAGCAGTGGTCTATGAAAGAGCTTCGTGGACTAGGAAAAAGCTTATTAGTCTTCTAAGATCGTCACCGTCTAATCTTATTAGTGGACAGTGATGGGGAGGTTAAAAGTAGGTACACAGCAAGGTCTCAGTTGGAAGTAGTATTAGAGATTTAAAAGACGGATGGTGACTTTAATCGGGCACCGCAAAAATCAGTCTACATCGTTGAATCAGTAGTCTTGATCGATGTTTTACTATGTAAAAAAATAATGAACTAACAAAAAAATACATGAAAAAATAATGAATCAACAAAAGTTGGTTCAGATCAATAAATTAATGATCAAAATCTAAATTAATGATCAAAATCGTCATTTTATTATAGAGAATCTTCATTTTACTGTACACAACCGTCGATTCCTTTCTAGACTCCATTATTTCTCTATACATACTCAAAACCCGAATCGGGTGACCAATTCCCACACATGCTGACCCGGCATTTTTTAAATCACTAGTAGTAACCATATATCCATCCTTCTTGTGATTTGGGTGTGGTTAGTATGAGGGTGGCAGGCTCTTTTTAATAATATTTTAAGTGAAAAGATTTTCTCCTCCCTAAGGAGGATACTATCCATTTCCTCCTTTAAGTAAAACACATGTTAGGAATACGTTTTGGATCTCAAAATTTGAGGATATTATCCTTACATCTCAAAGAACAAACTTGGGAAAAAAAAAACTCAAAATAAACTCTCTATGTAATAGAAAAAATGCATGTCTCAAGAGAGACCATCTAATTTTTGAAGGGCTAGATCTAAGTGTCGCAAAACTTTAAATTCATTTTTTTTCTTTTAAAAATAATCATCTCATAATTAATATGTATTTCTCAAAATTCTAGACTAAGAAAATACTCCGAAGTAGGTGTTTTGAACGGGGGAGGAGGTGCAATATCCTCCATAAGGAGCATAGTATATGCCTTCATATTTTAAAAGAATGGTCATCTTAAAATATTGCCTCATTAATTTTACAAGTGATTTTCATGTTGCAAATTGACTATGGTTTTTGCGGCCTTACTAACCAAACCCTAATTTGGCTTTGGGAAATATTGAATGTGGTCTACTTTTAAAAACTCATCTTCTAGAAATGAATTGATCTCGATAATCTTGACAGCCATGATTATGAACTTAAAAAAAATGTACACTTAAAAATATATTATTTTAAAAAGGTGATAATCTACAATTCACGACCTTTAAAACTATAAAAGTTAATGTTAGAATAAATTGTGGAAGTGGAGCTCCTAACTATAACATTTTTTTTAAAAAAAAAGGTTATTTTTTATGGTAGCTTGTTTATCAAGTAAAGGTGAATGTTTAATTATTACTAAAAGACAATATGTATTTTTATCATCTTTACAAAGATAAAATTGAAATTTTTATTAAAGTACAAGTTATTATACAAATCAAGTTCTAACATACAAAATAATCCAAAATCCAATTGTGCTTTCTTGAAAATTTCAAATTTGCCATTTATTTAAGGATTAAGTTATCTATAAAAAATATTTTTAAACAAAAACAATAATTTTTTCTCTATTACAATATATTTTGACATTAACTTTTTTATTTTGGGTGTTGTTAACTCTAGACTAACCCAAAAGAGAACTCTGATAAAAAGTCTAAAAACGGCCGAAAAGTAAAGTTTAAAATATTTAATTTTCAAAGGTTAAAATCTATTCCTTTTCATGATGTGCATACTTCTCAAAATCATAAACTTCTGAGCTTTTAGATCCAAAATCGATATCTAATGCGCCAGAACCTCATCCATTAGCTATTTTCAACACTGGCATCAAATGTTTTGCACTTACATTGTTCATTCAGAGTCTCTTTCTCTCTCTCGCTCTCTCTCCCAAGCTTTAGCATCCTTGTTTTTGTCTAATCACTATGGACAAGCTTTAACGCATTCTTTCAATAGATACTGAGGTTAAACGTTATGCCGTTAAAGAGGGCATTTATCTGGCCGTTTGTTTCTCATTGCATATTGAAAGCGATTCCTCCTGCTAGTCAATGTCATTCAAAGCCGGTATAATCCTCCATAAACGCTTCACACGGTTTTAGTCAACTGCAGACATAGCCTTTTCAATTTTGTGTGGTCCATTTTTCATATCTATAGTGAGGCCAACATGGTGGCAGATACACTTGCCAAAAAGTCTGCGGCAGAGATAGCCTTTTCAATTTTGTGTGGCCTATTTTTCATATTTATCGTAAGGCCAACATGGTAGCAGATACACTTGCCAAAAAGTCTACGGCATTCTCTGGTGCTACAGTTTGGCACACTAGACTGTTGGATTTTATTTCCCTTTTTTTAGCACAAATGCCCTACTATAGAGCTGTGAAATTATGATTTGTATTTCTTTATCTTTATTAGTAAAAAACCGGGTAAGGAGTTTTCTCCAACAGTGATTTACCCAAAAAAAAAAATTTTGAGGTTCAACATGTTCTTTGCCCTGTTTGAATCCCTAAAAAAATTATTTAAAAACAACTTTTTCATATTAAATACATTTTTTGTGAACAGTTTTCGGACCTTTACTATTTATATAGCATTTGGATGCAACCTAAAAAGTAGTACGTAAAGGGTTAAATGTAAAAAACATTTAAGACGAAAAATATGAGAAAGATGGAAAGAGAAGGAAATGGCTAAGCAAGGAGGTAGAAGGAGACTTCTACGAATAGGGGGAAGGGGGGAGAGAGAGAGAGTTTAATTAGCAAGGAGAGAGAGAGAGAGAGAGAGACAGGGCAGGGGCAAAAACGAGAGATGAGAAAAAATTGCCTTTTCTTGTCCTTGCTCCAACAAGCCATACACTCGTTTTAATTTGTCAGAGAAATCTAATAAAAAAATTAATTTTTTAATTTATAAGGAAAAAATAATTTACATTCCCACCCCATATTCTAGATCCAAAAGGCTAAAATAAACAATCTCCCTGAAAAACAATTTCTTGATAATCATTTCGTTGATATCCAAACAACCCTTAATAGATTATGACATGGTTCCCTGTACCTATACAAACAAGAAATAGATTTCATCGTTTGTTGATATCCATGTAAAGCATGATGTCCTTTAACACATGAAATACTTGGTTTCTTATCTTAGTACAGTAACTTTTGTTAAGTGGAGACCCATAAAATGGATTCATACTATTGTTATGAGTATCATTGTTAGAGAGAATATCATAGGGCCTTAAAACCCCTTACAAAATCACTAAAGAGTCAAAACATCTCAATTAATACTAAAACTTATATTTGTTTTATTTTCGTTTCACCGAGGAACCCCTTGAAAAAATATCATTGAAAATATCTAAATTGGTTGAAAACACTGAACAAGCAATGGTACTTCAGTAAATTGAACCACCTAAGAGGCCCCAACAAATCACGAGAATACCCTTGCTTATTAAGGGTGAGTTAAATTATTGGATTACTCGAGCTTGTTTCGAGTTCCTTGAATAAAGGGAATTTGGATAATTTTTTAATATATTTTTTGAAGAGGTACTTTAGTAAAATAGAAACTTAAAAATAATTACTCTAATATTAATTGAGATAATGATTTGTAAGGGATTTTGATACTTAAATGATATTCCTTATTATGAGAGAGAGAGATCTTGAATAATAGTAAAAAAAACTGCTATTCCAAAGTTTATTTTCAAATCACAACTACTATTTAAGATCCATGATATAAGATTTACAATTTTTTGGCAATGGGCTTGAAAATTAGAAAATTACATGTTCAATATGTTAATCCAAATATAAATAAATAAATAAAATTGATAAACAACTTACTCAGATCTATCCTTAAATCACACAAGGGACTTGATATTTCATACCAAATCCTATAGACCAAGCCATCCAGTGGCAAACAACCTTGAGAGTTATCTTTCGTGAATCTCATTCACCTTCCACTCTCTTTTTCTATCATTTTCTCTTTCTTTTCTAGAGGGATTAACCTACTTTTATAGAGAACATATTTATTTTGTAACTCTCACATTTGTAGTCTATAGGAGTTGAGATTTAAGTGTAACTCCTGCTTTAATTCCCTTAAGTACCGTTAAATAGGATTAACAAGTTGTCACAAAACTATTAATCCTATGTAATGACCTAAACCTGTTATTAGTCCACTAATGACTCACATAATAAGATGTCATCCAAGCATTCCCACAACTTGATAAAAGATATTTAGAAATTAAATAAACATTGTATATCTATAATATAAAAACAAATTGTTACAATGAATACAAACATACCATTGGAGTTTTTCTCTAGTGCAACATCATATTAAAGCTCAAAAATAGATCCAAGTATATGACATTGCCTCATATGAGATTTCACATATACTTCAATGTGGTTTTTTTACTATTATTGAAAAAATAAGTTTTCGGGAGAAAATACATGATAGGCCACATTTCCAACACAATATGTAGTGTATTAAAATTTAAAACTTTTAAGGATTATATAATCAATATTTACAGTATTCAAGTATGGTCTACAAATAAATAATGTCTTAAAATCTATGAAGGCAACATCCATCTTTCATCTTCACTGCCTGTAATCACATCCAGACATGTCATGTTCTAACATTCGACAAAATAAATTAAAAGAAAATAATAAAGAAAAACTAAATCGAGCATTTAGTCTAGAACCGAGCAGTTTTTCCTAATCACACCGTCCGTCCCCGTCTTCACGCCAATCTGACCCATTTTCACCATTGATTTTACGAAGTCTCCGTTGAAATTTGGGCCTAGGAGACCGCTGAGAAAGCCGAAGTATGAGTCCACTATGGCCTTAGTGGATACATCCTGGTAGAGCTCTGCATCAGTCTGTAGAACTGCAAATCCTTGCCTCACATTATCTAAGAAGTTCTTGTCAAAAGCGAATTGGCTACCTCTGTCGAGGCCCAATCGAACGTTAACGTCACCATTTTTAGGGCATATTCCCTGGAGCTCGGGTAGGAACCTAGGGTTAATGGAGGGGTCAGCACCACCCCTTGGAGGGAAATTGTACAGGCGATTCTCCAAGAAGAAACATGCAGTGGTGCCAATGGTATGTGCAGCTGCGACGATTTTGAAAAATTTAGTATGAAATATCGAAAAATATTTGGTGAGTTTCTAAGTATTTAGGTCTTGTAACCTGACTCAAATCACTGTATAACCATTTTACCCTCATATCTATGAATTGAAGCTTCAAAGGTAATGCGAATTTGATGATCTTTGAAGAATTAAAATGATGATTAAAAAACAATTACAAAATAGATCAATTTGGAAGCTTATTTACTTTATATTTATAATCATGGTCATCTAGATGATAGGCACACATCAAGAATTGGGCTTGGGTTTGAGTGGTAAAGCATTATATCTCAAGTTCATTTCCTACAACTGAACTACCCAAATAAAAGAAAAAGAAAAATGATAGGCAAACAAAATTTTGGATCCAAAATTCATCTCCTCCGAAGATGAATTTCAGGATGGTGGACTCACTATAACAGGTATGTCCTCAGATGCACCAAAAACCTACCCTCACTAAAATGTTTCCCATGGGTACTTTATTTACTTATGGATGGAAAAGGATGCAATTCTTTCATTTTCTGTTCAATGGATGTATGCTCACTCTAAAGGAGAGGGAGAGTGGAAAAACAACTAGATAAATGGAATTTTTTTTGGAAAATTTTACCAAAATATACCTAAGTTATAACTAGATAAAATTTTACCTATTTTTTTACTTTTCCAACTCATAATCATGTGTATTTTGATGTATCTTTAAATTAAAAATAAAAAATAAAAAAATTAAATAATTGATCTCTTAAACACATTTTAATAGATTTCTCTTTTCTAGTGAACGAGAAAAATACAACTCATCTTTTTTATAAAATTTTATAATGGTATTTATCAATGTGACCAAAGGTTCCCGATTTTTAATAGGTTCCATGAATACTAAATGTCCTTTTCTTAACATTTTCTTAATGGAAAAAAAAAAGCACGAACTCATCTTCTTTAAATTCTTCAAAATTTTCTCACGATTTTATTGAACAATGCACATTTTTAACCATAATTTTTTTTTTTCCAAATACCCTCTAAAAGAGAAAAAAAGAAATAAAAAGAAAGCACCCAAAATTTTCATGTATTTATGGTCCTTGCCGAAAAGATCTTGTGAAGACACAATTGGAAATACCACTAAGCAACACCAAGTCAGTGACTGATAGCCCCTTCTCGGAAAACTTCTTTTTCAATACTTGGATCGGATCGGCGGCATCCGGCATGTTGCTGGCATCTGCCTTCGCTGATACCCTTCCGTCCCTTCGACCTGTTGGAACTTGGTAGTTGGGGCCATTGCTCTGCAGTACACATTCCAATATCCAAACACATATTACATACTACTTTCGACATGGCTGTGTTCAAACTTTAAGAAAATTTCGGTAAATTTCGGCAAGGAGAATAATAACTTGTCTACTGCTGATGATTTTAATGGGCATGATAGTCTGGAGTTTCGAATTTCAGGAAATTCTAGTGAAATTCCGGCAGTAAATTCAGGTGAAATTCAGCTAAAATAAGGAGAAATCTTTTGAAAATTGTGGTCCGCTTCACATAAGATGTGCTTGTTCATGACTAAAACATGGGGAAACTACTTCCAAATTTCCCTCTTGATTTGAAATTTCAAAAGAGAGACGAAATGCTCATTTGCATATGAGAGAGATAAGTCATTCCTGAAAGTGAGAATAGAATGCTGATTTTCATGTTTCATCAAAATAAGAAATAAAGGAGAAAAGAAGAAAATATTGTCCTCTCACCACAACAATAGAATCTCTAGCAGCCAAAGCCACAATGTCAGAACAGGAGACCACGCCTGGGCACATAGCCTCGAGGGTGGTCTTTGCATTCTCTATCACTTCGAACCCTCGCAAACCAGCGTGGCTTGGTGAATCCCTTTCTGATCCTGTTTTTGCGATTAGTATCGAACCGTCACAACCCTGAGAACAAAAAAAGAAAGTAAATCTAAATTAGAAAAATACAATAAAAGAAAAACATCGGCAACAATACCAATGAGCTCTAGGTTCGGGTGGTCTGATTGACACAACATGACATCCAAAGTCTTAGACATTAAAAAAAAAACAAAAACAAAAAACGAGTGATGATTGTAGCCGGTAAATATGAAGATCCTATTAGCTTTTAGTAAAGTCATCCCATGAAGGGTATTTTGATCATTTTAATGAGAGATATCATCTAAGACCCTGGCATAGACCTAACTACATGAAAATCATTTTGGTCATTTTGAGTCGAAAAGATGGAGTTATGTCAAATATTATTTCACGGTTTTTTTTTTGGTCATTCGTGTTTCTAAAGACCCAATTTTCCTACATAGCAGCTCGAGATTGAGGACCATTCTACCATTTCAAGTCCAAAAGACCATGATACCCCTCTTGATCACCAGAGCATAACATCAGGACCTTACCATCTGAAGGGTAGTTTAGTCATTTTGAGTCCAAAAAAACCTAAATACCCCTGAAAATTTCAACCGGATCTTTGAAACCCAAGTCCCACATGGAAGCTATTTTGGTCATTTCGTTCCAAAAGACCGAAATGCCCCCTAACACCAACCCCTCCAGCTTTCCAAACTCCGACAGCCCAAATCTGTCATTGTAACCACGAAAAAGACCAATATGCCCCTAAACACAACCAAGCCACCCCTGTGACCCAAAAACATATACGAGGGCATTTCAGTCAGTATCGAGGGGATTCTCGGAGAGACCTGAACAAAGCAATCGTGGTAATGAATTCTCAAGAGAGCCGCTGCCATGGTCGGATCGCTGCGAACTGCAGTCACGACGGCATTGAGGACGATAAATTCTGCAGTAGGGCAGGTCCTTGAATAGAAATTCACTCGGAGTTGAGCACTCGAAAGGGTCACCACCAAAATTAGAGAGAGAACGAAGGTGAAAGATATGAATGCCATTGTAGAGAGAGAGAGCAAGAGCAAGAGCAAGAGCAAGCAGAAGGTGAGAACAGGGAGTGGAGGAGGACGATCTTGTCTCCTTTTATACGGTTTTGAGTAGGAAATGGGACTAAAAAAGTACCAAAATACCCCTCAAGTTTGAATGCACAGCTGAGGTATTTCGGAGCAGTTCACTAGTAGTTTACCCGGAGTGGCCTGGATTTCTCAATTTTTTTTGAGGAAAGGAAAAGAATTACCGAAGTTATCCTGATTTGCCCAGAGATTACCAAAATGACGTTAATTTTAGCAATTTGACTTTTATAACGATAGACCATCCTTTTTTGCCTTTTTCTTTTTTTTAAAAAAAAAAATGTAACTATTGTTTATAAGGAAAAGTTTATATAAGGGCGAGGCCAGGCCCTAAACGATCAAATTAAAGCACGTCTAAAAAATTCAGTAGAAGGGGTTGTTCGGATACTGAAAGACTTTCAATTCAATCATCTTGACCACAAGATATATGGACATGAGAAAAATAGATTTCAAGTCTTGAAACAATGCATCATGTAATGTACTATCTAGACAGTCACTTTTTAAGATTTTTAAGTATTCATACATTATTTTTTAATATTTAAATTTTACAATAAAAATGAAAATAACTTTTCATACCATCATAAAGATATCTATTGGTACTATTCAAAGGTTTGTCTTACTTTGATTGTTCAGAGCGTCGACCTTATACAAACCATATCCTTGAAATAAAAGTCTTACTAAAATGGTTAAGTTAGGGTGCTCATAGTGTGAAATAATTTATCATTGTACTCAACAAAATTTAGATACTTATATACTTTGTTTTGTACATAGAGACCTTTTGATAAGGGTATTTTTGGTCATTAGGAAGGGTGTGACGTTATCTACATGAATTGTGACATCGCCTAATCATTAAATGATACTATTGTGCTCCAAATGGGTGATTTCATACCCATGTGGATGATGTCACACTCCACCTAATAACCAAAAATACCCTTATTAAAAAAATACTTATTTAAATATACAAAATTTATTGAAAACCGTGATAAATTACCCTAACATAACCCTTACTAAAATTAAAGTCCTTTTGGTAATTTTTCGAGCCAAAAGATTTCTTAATCCCCGTGAGTATTGAACTTTAGTCCGTGGATTCTTTTTTATCCCAAATTTTGCTAATCTCTATAATCTCACCAATGATTTCAAAGAAAACAATTTTAACTTTCAGTGCCTACCAACAAAAATTTCATCCCAAGATTGCACCAGAACATCCAATTTTGGAGAAAATGATTTAGATGTTTATTAACTCAAAATCTTTTTTTTTTTTTTTTTTTTGCAAATAATCATCTAGTTAGATGGATCTCAAAATTTCAAATAAAAAAAAACCTCCCATATTTTGCCCAAGGGACATGCAAGCTCATGTTAGCAAATCATCATTTTTTGCCATGGTTCTTCTTTTAGATTTCTTATTATCTTTGTTAAATAGGATTTTAGATTAGGGTTTTGGTTGCTTCTATAAGGCATAGGAGTGGCTTTAGGCTATTTGGAAGCGGTGCAATTTGTCGTTGTTAGTCAGTGAAACAGAGGCAGTTGTTGAGACAGTGAAATGAATTCTCTGTCTGTTTGTTATCAGCAAAATGCAGGCAACTGTGCTGCCTCCTCTTTCTCTCTAAAACTCAACATTCACATGTGTCTCTAACCCGTATCCCAAGTCAATACAGTTTCATAAATGACGATAGGGTTTTTTTCTCTCTCTTCAATGCTGCCACTTGTTTTCTCTCTCTTCAAATATCATTTGTAGTTTGCTCTGTGACTTTTCGGATTCCTTTGTGTCTTCCTCATTGTTATTCTTTTCAGAAGAAATAAGTGTACAATAATGCTTTCGTTTTCAAAGGATTACGTGGGAGTTGTAATAAGAGAAAAAGAAAAAAAAAAGAAATAGATCAATACAACATATTTTATGTTTGGCACCAGTGCCTACGTCTACAAGAGTAAATCAGTATTTCATTTATAGGGATTACTTTGGTTTTACATGGATATATAGAATGTGAGAGTATAGAATGAGAACATTTACCTTTTATATAAGGTAGTTACATTAATCTTGACCATGAAATTGGATGGTTGCAATTATTCTATTGACCAAACTCAAACTTCAAAAGAAATTTTTCGAAACTTTACGACACATCTAAGCTATCAAATTTCACATCAAATAGTTGGAAGGAGTTGTAACCACCTTGCATCAAAAGTAAATGGTTTCATCATATAAAATCCTATATAGAATTACAACTATAATCGTAAAAAATAAGAAACTCAATATTAAAAACTACAAAAAACTCAATATTTTGTAATCCAAAAGATAAAAAGCGTATTACCGAAAGCTTAATATCTTGCTGCTATAAGCCTCAACAAATTACACTCACAAGCTCCTTTGTAATATTTTTTGGTTTAGCATGATTCTGCATGAGCAATACTGTACACTAGCTCCCGCAGGCAAAGGAGGCACATGGGGAGAACTATTATTATTATTATTAAATTTTCAGATCAAAACCTAGGTGATTTTTTTCAAAAAAGTTTGAATTTTGAGTTGCAACACTTACATATTGCCACACAAAAATTGGACAGCCCCATATAAATTTTGGGCTAGTATTTTTTTTTTTTTAAAGCACATAAATTGTACGATTTGGAACTTTTCTCTGTTGAGTTTTTCACCGGGTTCAAGAGATTACATCCTCAGAATTTGAGGTGCCAAGAATACTTACAGCTTGGCGGCTACCCGGGGGATTAGACAAACAGGAGCAACCTGCAAGAGCAAGAAATCCCCTCACACTTCCTTTTTAAATCTCCTATTTTTCCCATGATTTTCTTCCTTCACAACAATTTCTCTCATATTTTCTTTAAATGGCATGCAACTTCTCTTCTCTTTTCTTTTCTTTTCTCCATTTTTTCATTTTTCTTTTTCATTTTTCTTTTCACTTGTAATCAAGTAAGAGTTTCCTCTAAGAGCTTGACTTTCATTTTATCTTATTTTTGTCTACATTTGGTGAAGCTTAATAATAGAGTTATGATTGTGATGGGAGAAGGTGGTAACCCTAAGGACAAGAAAGGCATCACCTGCAATAAATTACACAGCGATTGCTACTATGTTGTACACCACCACCTTGCTGGCCTTCATTAAGAATGCATCAACTTAGAAAGAGAAACTCACATAGAAGAATGTTGGGAATGAGTTAGAAAGAGGAAAGAGAAAATCCCACAAACAAAATAATGTCTTGAAATCTCTATGCTATATTTTAAATACTATTATGATACCTAACACCACTTGGATTGATTTAGGGATGCTTTTGGTTAAGTGTTGCTTTCAGTTTTCAATTTGCTTTTCACCATTTGTGCTCACCACTCACTCAATAAAATAAGGTAAAGACGTGTTATTGTAGATCCTGGTCCTGCGGCCTTTTTTCAGATAATCCATTGAACTTTAACTTCTATGAAAATATCCTTACTTGGAAATTTGTTGGATTACATCTCTCAATTGTAGTGCTTTACAGCACATTGACTACTAAGGCTTGAGAACATCTTCTTTTCCCCTCCCTTCCTTTTTTTTTTTTTTGCTAACTCAAATATTTTTTATTTTTAGTTTTAAAAACAGAATGTTAAGTTGAAGTTTTGGTTGGTCTTGTTGCATACAAAATAATGATTTGCAAAAATTATTTATCTATAGCGGGAATCGCCAATCCAAATTGAAAATCAATGAGCGTCATTCTGATTCCTGATGGAATTGGGTGATTCGACCCATTATACATAAAAACCTCAAGAGCCTTCTATCATTAATAAAAAAAATATATATATTTTTTATTTCTTATTTTTTAAATCATCTAAGAAGAAATACGACATATGGATCTATGCAGTTTTTTCTCTTTTTCTTATTTTTATATTTTATTTTCATTTTGTTGGATCGCCTATTGGGGTAAACTGTATTTGAACGAGGGAATGGGTGATCCACCCTACCCATTTGTGTTTGAACACTGGGACGAAGTATTTCAATTTGGACAAAAAATGTTAATAGGATTATACAAACTTCAAAACTTGTTTGTCAAAAGGAAAAATATACAATGAGATCATTTACCTTGGGTACGAGATGTTCACAATTATTGTGACCCCTCCTTAACCAAAGCATCAGCCTCAACATTATATCCCTATATGCATACACATACTCAATAATCCCATCGGTCATTGATTTCATCCAAATTGGGATTAGATGCCACATGATTGCATGTATAAACTTCATAAGCCTATCTCGAAGTGGGTAATTGATGTCATCCATAATTGGATTGGGCACTAGGATACCTTGTTTTTGATTTTTTGGTAGTTCAATAGTACGAATCAAACTTGAGATGCAGCATTACTAGCGTCAATTGCTAGCCACTCAAACCCAGGTCGACACTTTTATGCTTGCATATATACCATCTAATTACATTAATCGAATCACCCTCCATATTCACCTTTTCTTGGAGCCCTAACCTACTCCTGACATGGACGTGAATATATAAGGATAGAGGACCCTACACAGTCCCCTAGGGATACCCCTAAACCTACTCCCTTGAGGTGGCAATGGATTCGGGTAATAAACATGGACCTAGACCTATTGCTACCCGTTCTAACTTCATATGGGTTCTTTAATGAACTGTCATCAAAGTTCAATTTAGTAACCCCAACTTGAAGAGGTTGCCATTTATTATGTCTTTGCTTTCTAATTCCCCATAAAGTAGGCAACCTCTTGAAGGTTGGGATTATACCATCTCTCAATATTCCCCGAGGTTCCTTCAGGGAAGTAGCCCACTCAACTAGCTACAATGGCCAGTAGTATCTTGAATTTGAACGCCTTGATCCTGAAGGAACAGTTGTTAAACATCCTTTTATTCCTTTGTCCCCACAAATGCCAAATCAGTGCCAAACAAGATGCACCACATGGATCTACCCAGCATCGCAATGCGAGGGCAATCCACCAGGCCTAGAGTAGTTCAAGGTTCTG